TCCAGCAGGATCACGACTGAGTTATTTCCATCCATCTGTACCAGCACAGTACTTCAATGTCAAACAAAAAATAGCTTTACTGGCTTGGCACCCATAGCTCAGTGAGTACGGTGCCACCCACATATACTGAGGTTGGCAGGTTCAAGCCTGGCCTGGGCCTACTAACCAACAATGACAACTGCAACCAAAAAATAGCCAGGTGTTGTGGCAGGCACCTGTAGTCCCAGCTACTCTTAAGCCCAAGAATTTGAGATTGCTGTGAGCTGTGACCCTACAGCACTCTACCCAAGGCAACATAGTGACATCTTTCTGTCTCAAAAAAGTAAGAAAAAAAAAAGAAACTTTGCCATTTTTCTGGATTAAAAAAAGAGCATTTCATATTATTTTGTAATTTTTTGTAGGGACAAGAGTCTCACTTTATTGCCCTCAATAAAATGCCGTGGCATCACACAGCTCATAGCAACCTCTTCCTCCTGGGCTTAAGGCGATTCTCTTGCCTCAGCCTCCCAAGTAGCTGGGACTACAGGTGCCCACCACAATGCCCAGTTATTTTTTTGTTGCAGTTTGGCTGGGGCCGGGTTTAAACCTACCACCCTCCATATATGAGGCCAGCACCCTACTCACTGAGCCACAGGCGATGCCCATGTTTTGTATTTCTTTTGTTATTAGTAAAGGGAAGGTTTTTTCACATACATGGCCATTCATATTCCTTTTTTGTTTATTACATAATACATGAAATACAATAATTCATGAAAGTTGAAAAAGAGTTACATCTTTATTTGTAGGAGTTCTTTTTTTTAAATTAAATCATAGCTGTGTACATTAATACCATCATGGGGTACAGTGTGTTGATTCTATATACAGTTTGAAATACTTTCATCCATCTGGTTAACATAGCCTTCATGCCATTTTCTTAGTTATTGTGTTAAGACCTTTATATTCTACATTTAGAAAGATTCATATGTACCCCCACAGGATAAACCATAGACGTGATCCCACCAATCGCCCTCCCTCCACCTATCCTCCCCCCTCCCCTCCACTCCCTCTACCCTTTCCCCGTATTCTTGGGCTAAAATTGGGTTATAGCTTTCCTATGAAAGCTATAATTTAGTTTCATAATAGGGTTGAGTACATTGGATACTTTTTCTTCATTCTTGAGATACTTTGCTAAGAAGAATATTCTCCAGCTCCATCTGTAGAAGTTCTTTATGTTAATTTCTTGGATGCATTCTACTGTATTGCTAATCTCATTGGCTATTTTTTTAGAGAGTTAACATCTGTCATTAGTGGAACAATTTCCTTTTATAGTTTCTTTTTCTTATTTAGCAGTAAAAAGAAAAAGCATGTGTATGGCAGATAAAGAGCAACATGGAATGAACCTCATACATTAAAGTCAGTGTCTCAGCACTAAGTAGACTCTTAGAGATTGAAATCTGGGGTCATACTATGGAAGCAGAAAGTCATTTGTTAGTAGGTGTCATCTATACAGAGGCACCTTCTGAGACCACAGAGAAGCTCTGAAGCATCTGAGATGGTGAATGACTTGCTGTGCTAGACGTGGCAGACCAGGTTTGAGTCTGAATCTCAGCCACACATTGGCTTCCTGGTTTTTCTGCACATTCATCCACGTGTCTGACAGTACATTACTCATTTTCCACATCCCTGAGTAGTTTCAAGGGACCTAAGCACGGAGGGGTACTGGGACTGAAGTATATAAAATGCACAGTCCTGCCCTCTCAGAACATGGCAGCCACATAGTGATACTTGATAAGTAGTAAATCATAAAGCTTATTTAGTCTCTTTTTCTTTTCATACCTGAAAGGGTTTTTCTAAAGACACTGCAATTCAAGGATTACCTTTGGATAAAACAGAAGAGAGCAACAGACAAAAAGGTAAAAGAATAGAATTTATTTTTTTTCTTGTGATAAAATATATGTAACATAAACCTTACCATTTTAACTATTTAAAAGTGTACAGTTCTTTGACATTAAGTAAATTCACACTATTGTGCAATCATCTCCATCCATCTCCAGAATTTTACTAGGGAGGCTGAGGCAAGAGAATTGCTTAAGCCCAGGAGTGGGAGGTTGCTGTGAGCGGTGATGCTATGGCACTCTCCTGAGGGTGATAAAGTAAAACTCTCTCTCTAAAGAAAAAAAACCCCACTAATTCTCCATTTCCCCTCCCTTCGGTCCCTGACAGCCAATATCCTACTTTCTGTCGATGAATTTGACTACTCTGGGTTCCTTATATAATTGAAATCATATCGTATTTGACCTTTTGTGACTGGCTTATTTCAGTTAGCATAATATTTTCAAGATTCATTTATGTCATAAATAACATAATGTGTCAGAATTTTCTTCTTAAGGGTAGAAGTGATTTTAAAACATTCCTTAAAGCTGGGTGCAGTGGTGGTTCAAGCCTGTAATCCCAGCACTTTGGGAGGCTGAGGAAAGAGGGTCTCTTGAGCCCAGCAGTTTGAGACCAGCCTGAGCAAGAGTGCGATGCCATCTCTACAAGTACATACAAAAAGTAGTCATGTGTCATGGTACATGACTGTAGTCATAGATACTGGAGAGGCTGAGGCAGGAGGATCTCTTGAACACGTGTTTGAGACTCCTGAGAGCTATGATGATGTCACTGCACTCTAGCCAGGGCAACAGAGTGAGACTCTGTTTCACAACAAACAAATAAAAAACAAAAATAAAAACTCTCATTAAACAGCCTTACAGTTTTTATTTATTATTTTCATTTAAATTAGTTTTTCCTCCCAAATTAAACTATACATAGCATCTCTAAAATTCATAAAAAGCTTTGTATTACCAAACTATTGCAGAGATTTGGCGGTAGATATCTATATAACTTCTGGCTTCACTGTTCTGAATAGTCTTTGTAGGATAACAGATTAAGGATGTGTTTCAAAAAATTTAATGAGAGATAAGGCCAGGCATGGTGACTCTCACCTATAGTCACACTCTGGGAGGCCAAAGCCTCTGGATTGCTTGAGCTCAGAAATTCTTTTTTTTTTTTTTTTTTGAGACAGAGCCTCAAGCTATCCCCCTGGGTAGAGTGCCGTGGCATTACAGCTCACAGCAACCTCCAACTCCTGGGCTCAAGCGAGTCTCCTGCCTCCGCCTCCCAAGTAGCTGGGACCACAGGCGCCCGCCACAACGCCTGGCCATTTTTTTGCAGCCGTCATTGTTGTTTGGCGGGTCCGGGCTGGGGATTCAAACCCGCCACCTTAGGTGTACGTGGCTGGCGCCTTAGCCGGTTGAGCCACAGGCGCCGAGCCAGCTCAGAAATTCAAGAGCAGCCTGAGGAAGAATGAGACCCAGTCTCTTAAAAAAAACAGGGTGGCGCCTATGGTTCAGTGAGTAGGGCGCTGGCCCCATATACTGAGGGTGATGGGTTCAAACCAGGCCTCGGCTAAACTGCAAGGAAAAAAATAGCCAGGCGATGTGGCCAGTGCCTGTAGTCCCAGCTACTCTGGAGGGTGAGGCAAGAGAATCACCTAAGTCCAAGAGCTGGAGGTTGCTTTGAGTTGCGACTCCACAGTACTCTACCAAAGGTGACAAAGTAAGACCCTGTCTCTTAAACAAACAAAACCAAACCCTCTCCCCAAAACAAATAGCTGGGCATTGTGGTGGGTGCCTGTAGTCCCAGCTACTGGGGAGGCTGAGGCAAGAAGATCACTTGAGCCCAAGAGTTTGAGGTTGCTGTGAGGTATGATGTCATGGTACTGTACCCAAGGTAACAAAGTAATACCAATAAATGAATGAATGAATGAATGAATAAATACATAAATAAAGCACTTGCTTTTATCTCATTCTAAGTAGTTTTCTCTTTACTGTGAGCAGATCTCTTCAATTTGGCCTCAGGTGTTTTAACAATTTTTTTCCCTAGGGTCTAAGGTTGTGGTGATTATGTTATCACTTAGTCCCTTAACTTATTCCTTACCTTTTAAAATTGAGAATCCTATTGTTGAATTCCTAAATATCCTTTTAATTAAAAAGATTTTTTAATAGCTTGTTAAAATGTTATAAATTGTCAGTAAATCTAAAGTATATTTTTGTCTTGGGTTTCCAGCAAATGACGTCTTTATTTCTCAGTACACAACAGGACAGAAGGATGCTGTAAGAACAGCTTTAAAGCAAAAGTAAGTTTCATTTACAGAAAATAGTTGGACCCTCTCTTGTGGTTAAAATAAGCTTCAGGCTTGGAGCCTATAGCTTAAGCAGCTAAGGTGCCAGCCACATATACCGGAGTTGGCGGGTTCGAATCCAGCCTGGGCCTGCCAAACAACAATGACAACTACAACCCCAAAATAGCCAGGCATTGTGGTGGGTGCCTGTAGTCTAGTTACTTGGGACACTGAGGCAAGAGAATCACTTAAGCCCAAGAGTTGGAGGTTGCTGTGAGCCATGATGCTACAGCACTCTACCCAGGGCGACAGCTTGAGGCTCTGTCT